CCCCTCCACCACCGCACTGGCGGTACCTGTGTATCCCAGTGGGGCTGAACTGGCTGGTGAGAAAGTTGGTAACCTCCCACCCAGGTGACAGTAACAGGGAGCAGCATGGAAGGGGTTAACCCCTGTCCCCAGTCGAGGTGACAGAGTCTCCTGGGAGGGCTGACCAGGAGGAAGAGGTTAACCCACTTTTCTCTTGAGGCAGACAGTAGGTCCCAGTGGGGCTTGATCATGGCAAGGGGTCACTCCTGGACCCCTGTGGGTCTGTGCACTGGGGCACAGTGCATGAATGAACCCCCATGTGTGTGACAGCCCCTAAAAAGGAGAGTGCCTCTGGGCTTGGGAGGGGGATAAACCCCATGAAGTTCTTAGCCCCACAGTGGGGCTGGGCAGGGGGCATGGGGTGGCGATCTGTGCAGTGGGGGGATTTAACCCCATCCCCATGCCATTGTGAGCATCCTGGTGAGTCTGGAAATAGGGTAGCCTACATGGGGAGGCAGCGTGGGGGGTTTGACCCTATGTCCACACAACTGTGAGCAGCCGAGTGTGGCTGGAAAGAGGGGAGCCTACTTGGGGAGACGCTGTGAGGGGCTTGACCCCATCTCCACCCAAGAGCCAGCATCAGATAGATCTGAAAAGTGGGGGACCCTGTCGGGGGTGATGACAAGTGGTTCTTGACACCATCCCCATGCAGGAGGCAGCACTTCGTGGCTGTGGAGATATGGGACCCTCTCTGGGTAAATTCTGAGCGGGGGTCCTGATCCGTGCCCACGCAGGAGGCAGCCGCCGGCGGGGCTGGCAGCGGGGGCTGTGCTGGCAGAGGCAGCGAGGGGAGGGTTAACCCCGTCCCCACGCAGGTGCCGGCACCCCAGTGGGGCTGTCGGTGGGGAGGGGGAGGCGGGCGGTGCGTGTGGGGGCTCGGGGAGGGGATGATTCATTGCGGGTAGTCATGACATTGCTGCCTGGTTGCCTGCGGCTGCCATCCAGCACGGGCACGGGTGGCTCTGCCTGCCCCGGCGCGACAAGATCCCCACCAGCTCCTTGACTGAACCCGGGATACGCTACCATGCCGGCCATCCTGCTCTTCTGGAGCCGCGCCGAGAGGTATGCGCTGCCTCGGCACCCGCGCCCCGCCGAACCCACACGGCTTGGAGCCCGGCGGGACTCCAGCCCCTGGGGACACAGCGGGACGGGAGCTCTCGCCCGCCCGGCTGTTTCGCTTGCCGCGGGTGGGATGCAGGAGCTACCTGGTGATATCCCCAGTACGTCTGCCTAGTTTCGGTGTATAGCTTCTGGAGAGGATGCTCTCCGTGGCCTGCGAGTGACAGACGAGGGGACGCGGTGGCATTAGCTTTCTTTGGCGTGCCTGAAGGTGACTTCTGAGAAGTAGGTTTTGCGCCGTGGGCTCGGGGGACGCACCGTCCCCGTCCCGCTGCCCTGCCGCCACGGGGAGCCCCGGACACCGGGCGGGAGTGCGGCACTCAGATCCCTTCTGCCGGCGGACCGGTGCCGGCGTCCGGTGAGGGGGACACAGGGACCCCCATACATCCGAACGGGAAAAGCTGGGGAGGTGCACATTGGTTAACGTGACTTTTTTCCATATCCAACGCCGCCCTACTTTTCTCCCTACCCGATTCGCCTGGCGGGTGCTCAGCCCTGGGCGTCAGCAGAGTCGTTTCTGGGGACACCGGGGGGCTCCTGGCTGAGCTCCCTGCGCTCCTTGGAGGGGGCTGCGTGGGGGACGTGACGGTACCAGGCGGCTGGGTGCCTTGCGGCAGTGGAGGAGTGCCGGAGCTGACGGATTAAGCAGAAGTGTCTTAATCTGTCGGTTTAACAAGAAAGCGTCAGGAAACCAAGTAAAAGGAAAATTACGGCACGGCGAGTGACTCCACTGAACGGTCTGTCTCTCTTTGCGCGGCTGGGAAACACACAAAGGACGGCAGCTCCCCGGCGGCACCGCGTCGACCGGAGGAGCCCTTTCGGAGCCATCCTGGGAGCGAGGTCAGAGCCAACCACGGCTGCCGGGCTGGCGAAGAGCTGTCCTTTGGGTGTGCCGGAGGAGGTGGAGGGGGGGACTCGCCAGCAGAGCATCCCTTGGCGGCGGCGGCGGCATCCCCGGCACGAGCCAGCACCTTTTGCCCCGCCACCCTCCTCCCGCCCTCCAGCGCCTCCCGGCCGGGCGCACACCACCTGCCGCCGCCTGCGGACAGCCGCGATGTTTAAAATAAAACTAGAGCCTTTAAAAGTGACAGCTTGGACTATGAATGTGTTCGTAAAGTTTCGGTAAGTGGGTTTCCGCCTCTCGACCTTGTGTCCTCGTTAAACCACGCCAGCGCCTGTCCCTGGCATCCCGCGGTGACCTTGCACCCCGAGATGGAACAAAAAAAACCCTTGTGCCGTTGCCAGGGTGGGTTTGTTCCCTTAGATGACTGCCGAGCGGAGGGATTATGTCAAACGATCGCTATTCAGCTGGCGCACTCGCCCAGCGGTTGCTCGGGCTGATGTCATGTGTGGGGCCGGAACAAAGATTTATTCTTTATTTAATTATTTTTTTTCTTTTGGTGTGGTTGCAAGAGGAGGATGGAGGCTGGGCTGCCTCGGCAGGGCAGGGGAATGCCTGTGGTTTTCACCAAGGCAGGGTGGCCGTGGCTTATCTGGAGGCATCTGGTTTGCAAGGGCAATGCAGGAATGCCTTTGCCTGCCTGAAACCCCCCACCGCTCCCGAGGGGGTTAAATGGGAAGTCAGGAGAGGATGACTGAGCAGAAGGGGGAGAGGATCGGTGGCAGGGCACAGCTGATCCCAGAGAGGTGGGAGGGAAGGAGGGAGGCTCTGCGGGGACAGAGTCGTGTTTTACCACCATTGTGCATGTGAGCTGAACCTCGGGAGTGTGCCTTAACCCATCGGGTCACCCGCCAGCACCTGGTCCTCTCTCTGCCACGGTAAACTGCCGCACCGGGATGCATTTTGGTACAGAAATTCCCTTCTCCATGCCCAGCCAGATGAAGGGGTCCTCAGTCAGGTCAGAGATTCTCATTAGGCATCCCCACCCTGGCCAAAGACCTCTCAGTGGGCAAGACCAGACTTCTTGTGGGTGGTGACAGCATTTTGCCAGGACAGTATGTGTTTCCATGGGAAGCGCTGTGGGATTTTGGCCAGGTGAGGGATTTTGGCCCAGTGGTGCTGTCAGGTTGGGCTGTGTGGGAGCAGAGCCAGACACCGTGGCCCCTGGGCAGCAACAGCTGAAGGTTTGTCAGCTCTGTGTTGCTGGAGCTAGGGTGTGATGGGGTTGTCTTTAGCACTGCTTGGCTTGCTCTCGCTGTGGGAGGGTTGGCAACATCCAGACAGGGCCAAGTCATTGTCTCAGGGAGCCCCTGCCCTCCACTGGAGGCTGCTGTGGGGAAGTGGGGTGTTGGAGTGACCCTTGGTGGGGGGAATGGACAGCACAGCTCTTGGTTCTCCTGCCTGTTGCTCACCCCAGGGTCTCCTGCAGTCCTCCTGCCACTTAGGAAGGGTAAATGGGGAGGTGGGTGTGGGCTGGGGGCAGAGCATCCCCAGAACCTGCGTGGGCTTGGTGCTGCTGGCATCTCTGCACGCGGGAGCTGGTATAGAAATGTGCTGGCATCCGGGAGGTGCCACAGGAGACGCTGTCAGATGCTCTTTATGTCCCCAGGGACCTCCTCCCACCTTTTCTGTGCTGCCTGAGCTGCTGTACAGTGTTTGCAGATGCCCCCATCTCCCCTCACTGTGTCATTCAGGTGTGCCTTATCCCCCCTCCCCATCTACAGTAAAGCTTCTCCTCCATGGCTGGAGAAAAAAGAGCAGAAGTTGGTGGTTTGGATGGAGGTGGCCAAATGTGGGATCAATTCCCAAGCTCCTGTAGGTGATCATTGCCCAAGGCAAGTGTTTTATGCTTGGTGTCACTGCCAGATGCTTAGAGTAACACACAGGCATGGATCCTGGGGGAGCATAGCCACCCTTGATTGAGATGTGGTGGTTGGGGGGTTCCTTTGTGATGTCCAGTGGGAGCTCATGGATAGAATAAGGATGGGGAGAACCATCTGGTAGCTTGTATGATGGGGAAGAAAAGGGTCAAGGCTCATACCCTGTGCCAAAATCCATTTGCTGGAGGGGCACAGTGGGCTGAGGCAGCTCAGGTGTGTTTGGAGCAAGGGTGGGGTGAAATGTGGACTGTAGCTGGGAGCAGGATGTGAGCAGTGGGGTGCAGGTCTTCTAGGGCAGCACCTGGGAGAAGCAGAGTCAGCACTGACTGTGAAAGGGACCAGGCCAGACCCTAAAGGTCAGGGTGTCAAGAGTTTACTGTCGGATAACCAAAAGTTGAGCAGCAGGATGAAACACCCATAGAGAGGTATGGGACTTGTTAGCTTTTGCCTGGTGGAGCAGCCCTGCCATCTCCCCTGGCTGCTCCCTGGGTGGCTGCAACTCCAGCAGTGACTGGGGGATGAATTACGGCCACTGGGTTTTCCATGCCTTAGTATAGGCATGGGCATGGCCTCAGCCCCCGCACGATGGAGCGAGTGAGCCCTGAGTTCCTGGCTTACTGCAAGATCCAGTTGGAGGCTCTCAGGGAGTGCAAGTCAGGCTAGAAAGTGTTGGGTTTTTTTTAAAAACAGAAAAAGAAAAAAGCCCTCCCACCATCACAAGATGTTTCTGTCTAACGGCTCTGTTCTCTCTCCGCTAAATACAAATTATGGCTCTGACAGCCGGAGGCGCTTATCTCCAGCTGAATGCCAATTGCTTTCAGGAACAAAATGTTTGAAGTTCCTTTAAGGTGAAGGCACAGCATGGTCCCTGCCACTGCTTTCAGCCTCCAAAACCTGCTGTCATCACCCTGACTTGGGTCTCAGGTCCCCAGCTGGGAGAGAACCAGGCAGGGGGGTGGACACAGGCCGGCAGCTACATTTGGACGTAGCTCAGCCCTCCTGACTCAGCCGGGGGGGGACGTGGTCCTGGCCTGACGTTAGCAGTGGCGTGGCCCCTATAATAGCTCCGTGCCCTGACTTGAGCTCTCTCTCCCTCTTAGCCTCAGAGATGAGTCTGTCCATCCCAGCCGTAGGGCTCAGCGGGATAAAAACAGAACTGGGATACATTCTGACACCGGGGCTCTGACCTCTGTTGGGAAGCGTGGACTTGAGCCGGCTCTGGTGCTGCTGGCCTGTGGGACACAGGGAGCATTGGCTCCACGATAAGTGTGTGCCAGTCCCATCCCCGACTGCCCCTGTGTGATATTCACCTTACAAAGAGCTGTCTTTCTCTTTTCAGGAATAAGTACTCGGCTCCTGGCAGCGTCACCGTCATGGGGAAGGACTATTACAAGATTTTGGGCATCCAGAGCGGCGCCAATGAAGATGAAATCAAGAAAGCCTATCGGAAAATGGCCCTGAAATATCACCCCGATAAGAATAAAGACCCTAATGCTGAGGAGAAGTTCAAGGAGATTGCGGAGGCTTATGACGTCCTGAGTGACCCCAAGAAACGAGCCGTGTATGACCAGTATGGGGAGGAAGGTAAGGGGATAAGCACTGCCCACTGAGAGGCACGGATGTGGGGTCCAAATCAGTTTTAGAGGTGAGGGAGGGTTTTCACACAGAGGTGTTTCATTGTTTCATGCCAACTCCTGAAATGGGTCTGGTTGCCAAAGAATCAGAGAAAGTGAAGGCTCCACGGGTGTCAGAAATTACCTCCCATCCTGTTCCTCCCCAAGTTGCTTCACTTTTCCAGCAATTTGTCAGCTTGCTTCCTGGGGTGGCTGGGCTCCCCCTGCCCTCTGCCCCAAAACTGTGGGTGCCAGCTGAGGAATGGAAGGAGTTCATCTCCTGGGTTGTACTTGGGGTAATCTATTAGCAACTCTTTAAATGACCTAAATAACACAGCAGAGACGTACTGCTTCTGCCCACATTTCCCCTGCAGTTGGGCACTGGTCCCACTGTCCTCCCTGGTACAGGCTGACCTACGGGATTCAAAGCTTTTCCCAATTTAAGTAATAGGCCCTTGTTTTGAAACCAAGCGGCTGCTGTTGTCTGGTGGTTGGCATGGAGGAGGAGGAGGAGGAGAGCCACTCCAGCGCAGGCAGCCTTATTAGTCGATGATGGAAGAGTGCAACCCCATTCGAGGAGAGTGCCGAATAGCATCTGCATTAATCAGCCCAGAACTTGGGTGCTTAAAAGAGCAGGAGGTCTGGCAGGAGCAGGCTGCTGGGTGAAAGAGGCAGCTCCTCTCTTGGGCAGGTGCATCCCCTCACAAGCCTCCAGCAGGATTAAGCAGCAGTGGGTTAATTGTTGACCCTTTAGTTATGTCAGGGCTGTGATGGATGCACCAGGCACAGTGATTTGCTGCCCTGTAAAATGAGAAGAGACTCTCTCAAGTGGGAAACCAGCTTTTCCCAGGAGGCCTCAATGAAATCGGACCCCGCTCAGGCTGGCGTCATGGGATTAAAGGTGAAACCTCCTGGCTGTACAGTCTATTAAGAATGGGCTCACTGGGGATTTGGCAAAATCCCTGTCTCCTGCAGGCATCTAAAATAAGTGAGTTAAAGAAGAGGGTAAGAGCTCCCTCGCTGCCCCATCTAGTTAAAGACCATCTTCCCCCATGTCCCATCAGTGCTGAACCTCTCATGTTCCATGACCTTCCCCACACCTTTTGTTTCCCATTTTTTTGGGCAATGAAGATTAGCATTTTGAGAAGCTTCAGGGTCCCACATGCTGTGTAGGCAAGGTGAAGCAGGAAAGCCCTTTGAACCCACCCAGAATACTGACTTCAACGCTCAGAAGAGACCCCCAAACTTGTCCTGCTGTGGAAGGGCCGTTGGGGGTTGGGACAAAGGACAGCCTGTCAGAAATAGTCCTTAACTGTCACTGGTGTGCCCTGAAAATAGTCCCTGAGCTAGGCTTGGCTTAACCCTTCCCAACCCTCCTGGTCAAAAATAGCCTTGCAGAGTATGTGTGACCTCTGTGGGGGGGCACTTGTCATGTGCCTTGACTCCTTGGGACTTGGGATGAGTTGCAGTGACATCAGGCTCAGCCTGGGACCTGGTAGGGGAGTTTCCCATGGGAAAGGTTTCCAAATGATCCAAACCTGGAGCTTACCTGGCATTTTATACAGCCAATGTGCAGGTAGCTGCATGCCAACCTCTCACCTCCACCTGCCCGTAGAATCACTGAGGGTGGAGAAGATCACTAAGATGAAGCATTGCCATGTTCATCACTAACCCATGTCTCTAAGTGCCACTTCCATGTACCTTTTGAACACTTCCAAGAATGGTGACTCTATCACTTCCCTAGGCAGCCTGTTCCAATGCCTGACCAATATTTCTGTGAAGAAATCTTTCCTAATATCCAGTCTCAGAGACAAGGCTATTGGGACAGGAAGGAGCCTGCTCATGGGGAAAAATGGAGATGGGCCGATCAGGGTATGTTTTAAATTAAAATTAGGTGAACTGGGAGAGGAGAATCAAAAAGGTGCTTCAGTAAGGATGGAGCAAAACCTGAATGGATTCTGAGCTTGCAGGGTGTAGGGGTAGGATTGTGTGTCATGGGTAGAGATGGTACCTTCATGGTGGTTGGGCTGGAGAGGTGATCTGTACACTCAGGAGAGGGTGGAAGGACTGCCTGGAGGTGGCATTCTCCCACCTGGGCAGTGCAGTCTTTGCAGAGCATTCCCCCACAGGGAGTATTCATGTCTCCTCTTCCCCCTTCTCTTCCAGGTCTCAAAACTGGAGGTGGCTCTTCAGGTGGCTCAGGGAACACCTTCCACTACACTTTCCATGGAGACCCCCATGCCACCTTTGCTTCCTTCTTTGGAGGCTCCAATCCTTTCGACATCTTCTTCGCCAGCAGCCGCTCCCGGATGTTCAATGGCTTTGACCAGGAAGACATGGATATGGATGATGATGATGACCCTTTCAGTGCCTTCGGCCGGTTTGGCTTCAATGGCATTAATGGGGTTCACCGGAGGCACCAGGAGTCCCTGCACACACGGAGGAAGGTCCAAGACCCACCTGTCATCCATGAGCTCAAGGTGTCCCTGGAAGAGATCTACCACGGATCCACCAAGAGGATGAAGATCACTCGCAGAAGGCTCAACGCTGATGGCCGGACCATGCGGACTGAGGACAAGATCCTAAACATTGTCATCAAACGGGGTTGGAAGGAGGGAACCAAAATCACATTCCCCAAAGAAGGGGATGCCACTCCAGACAACATCCCTGCAGACATTGTCTTCATCCTCAAGGACAAGCCTCACTCGCACTTCAAGAGGGACGGGACGAACGTGATCTACACGGCAAACATCAGTCTTAAAGAGGTGGGTACGGGTGGTAAATCCCATGGGATGTGAGGTGACACTGGTTCATGACATTTGGGGCCAATATAGGAGTCAGTCCTTCTCCTGCTCTAGATAAGAAAGACCAGGTAGGTCACAAGAAAGGGGCTGCAGAAGCCAGCTTGGCCTGGACTTCAGAGGTGCTTGACTTCCATGCCAGGTGTGGGACACTGACACTGCGATCTCTGCTGAACACACCTCACTTCTTGAGACAATTCAGGTGGTATTTATCCATTTTCTCCCTTCTCCATATGTTTTGTTTTCCTATTTTAGTATAGGGTATTCACATGTGGCCACATCCTCTGTGGGAGCAAAGGAAACCCAGGTTGGGTGGCATCAGTCTGATTCCTGTTTTTCTTGTAACTGAGCCCGCTGTGGCTTAGTTACTGCATGGAGTTGCACCAGGTGCCTCTTCCCATGGGCAGAGAACAGGATCACATGGAGAAAAGTGATCCCTTGCTCTCACTGAGCGGTGCTCTAGCTGTTTTCCTTACTTCTGGCTTTCCTAGATAAGCAACCAAACAAATTAAATACCCAGGCAATGAGTAAAACTCAACAATTCCAGGCTGCCAGTCCTGGAGGTCATGGCAGGGCTAAATGGATGCATCAGATCATCCAGCAGTCTGCGCAAAGGTGGGAGAGGAAAGAGATTATCTCAGTACAAGATGTGCTGTTCACCACTGCTGCTGTAAAACTACCTTTTAATAAATCCCAGCTGGCAGCTGCATTTAACGTTGACATTTTTGGCAGCTGCCATTTGCTGTTCCTTTCAGACGGTAGACACTGTCTGTCTTCTTAATGAGCTGATTTTTTTTTTTTCCTTCCTGAAGGCAGATTTATGTTCTCAGATGCACTTAATAGAAATAAGCTCAATGGGCAAGACCTGAGGTAGGAAAACGTGATCTTGTGAAATGTGCCAGGAAGTCAGGAGAGCTCTGTGATGGCTCTGCATCCCAGCTCGGGCTGTGACGAGGTGTACTGGGGGCAAAAAGCATGCGGGCCAGGCAGAGCGGGGCACTCCTGAGGCAAACTCAGCTCCACTTAACTTGTGGACTCAGGGGTGGAGTTTCCCTCACAGTGCAGGGTACAGAGGTTTATTCCTGCAGTAGCTGGTTCTCTTAGCTGATCCAGAAATACTCAGGAGAGACTGCCTTATTTATGGAGCTGTGCATGCCATATCTCAGCTATTTCCTTCTGTTCATTCCTCTTATCTGTGAAGTTAACCCTGACCTGGCTGTGCTGATGCCCAGACCATGTTAGCCCAAGTTTGTGCACTGGTCAGGCTTGAGGGATTCTTGCCTGGAGTTGACTTTTGCACAGCAACTGGAGAAACAGTCTCTAGCTCCACATAATGTTGCACCAGAAGTGTTGGACACCTGTGAGCTCTGTGAGCAAGGCTTCCATGCTGCCAGTGGGCTCGCACAATGCAGACACAAAGCGGAAAATTGATGGTCCAGGCAAATCCCTCATCTCTTTCACATGGAATATCTGGTCTCTGACCTCCCCCAGCACAAACCCAACATGCTGGGCATCCTCATGGAGATGCTGGTCTGGCTGTCATCCCCAGCCTGCTGCTTGCCAGGGCAGTGTGATACTCTGCTGCATTTGTCTTCCAAGAAAAGAAGTTCCTAAGTGCTCTGGAGCATGAGCAGATGCTGGGAGCTCTCCAGTTCTGTATGCTACCACCTTAGTATGTGACAGAGCACAGCTTCTCCATCTCCTCAGCCTCTGGCTGTAGCCTTGGGTTTCTGCTTGCACCTTCTGCCTTGCAAGGCTGCCTTTTCTAGCCTGAGTTTTAGTCTCTGCCACTGTCATGGGAGAACATAGTGCCATCAGGAAAGCTGGCAGGTGATGGGTGCTGGAGGACCCTCCCTGCCCTTGAGTCCCAGCCCTGCTGGGTGCCTGGCCAGGGCAGTGCAGGCTTTTTGCCACATGTCTGCTGCAGAATCACATATGTAGGAGTGCTTTTCCAGGGATTTGTTCTCTTCCTTCCTAAAATCAGAGGCGTGTGCCACAGCAGGGAGCTGCAGGAGGGAGGAGACTCACAGCTCCACCAGCAGCCGCCTCTGCCGGGAGGCAGCGCTGCCAGCAGGGCATCGTGCCCTCCTGGCTGCTGCCTAATGCCTGCCCTCAGCACCATCCCGCTTTGCATCCTTTACCTGGCATCACCTTCCTCGAAGCATCCACGCCTCGGCTCATCCCGGCTGGGACGCGGCCGATGGTGACGCCCTCCCCGGCGGCTTTGCTGCGAGCGGAGGAGGACCCACTGGTGACCTAGATAAAGCTCTGCTCACACAGCAGAGCGCTCAAACCCAGGGTGATTTCATCCCCAGGGATAAACCAAGCCTCTTTCTAGGATGCGGGGTAGCTCCCGCAGTTACTGGTGTTACTTCAGCAACCATTTTCCCAAATGCCAGGAAAGTTGAGCAAGAAGAATGAAAAACAGGGACATACGGCGGAGGAGCGATCGCCTCGGCTTCTTGCGTCTTGGCTCTGGGAAGGAAACATTAAGATCCTGTCTGCCTTCGCTGTTACCGCCCGCTTCTGCTCACATCTCTGCCTGCTTTCCCCATCCACGTGTTCCCGCAGGGAGTTCTTGTTCTCCTTTCTGTTTTGTGGCTGGAGGTGTCCTTTCTTGGCACACATGGGCACATGCAGCCATGGCACACTGCACTGGGCACCAGCGAGCAGGAGGGCTTTGGCATCCTTGCCTGAATGCACAGCATGAACTCCTTGATGTGGGGAGATTGTCCTGTTTTCCTCCCAACCTGCTGGAGATCAGCCAAGCACCTGGTGCTCACACAAAGCATCCTCCTGCAGACTGAAGACTTTGTCCCTGGAGTACACCCTCTCCAGGAGGAGGCTGGTGCAGATAAGCCAGGCAAAGGAGACAGGACCTTCTCCCCTATTCTCCCCTCAAGAGATCCCAAACCAGCTCTGGCACAGATCCCGCTGCAAACCGTCTGGTTCAAAGCCTTGATTCCACTGTAGATGCCCCATCCATCATCTCAGAGCCAGCAGGAGATGTTTGTCCTGTGCCTGTTGCTGCTCTGCCTTTGGAGGCTTTTCCTGGGGAGAAAACCTACCCCAGAAACAGCAGTTGCATCTTTCTCCACCCCCCTTGCAGGGTGTTTTCGGGGGGCTGGGACTCCTAGGACCCAGTTCAGAGGGGCAAACCTGTGCCAGTCCCCACATGGAAGCTTGAGGCTATAGCTCAGCAGCCCCCCAGCCCCCACCCCCTTCCAGAAGCATCGTTCCGCAGTCCTCTATCTCAGCCCTTGCTGAAAGCCTGGAGACGATCCTGCCTACATGTACGACAGAGCTGTCTGAGTTATTTAAGGACACAAGGATTTTCTTGCTGCATTCCCGCATCACGTGGCTCGCCAATGCAGGCCGGTGTGCGGCTGCTGCCAGGGGCTGGGGACCAGCAGGGTGGCACCCCCTCCCTGGCTCCTGGCTGTGCTATGGGATGGGAGATGGGAACCAGCCCCTGCAGCACCCCAGCTCCCGGGGAAGCTCAATGCCGCAGCCACACCATTGTCCCATGCTGGCGCAGCCTTGGTGGGGGCTGTCGGTGACGGGGATGGGACATGGGACATGGGCTGTGCTATAGATAACCCCAGCACCGGGCAGAGCTGCCGTGCTCTGGAGGGTGACAGCTGATGGGCTGTGGCAACATCCCATGATCTCAGCTGGATTTTCGGCTGCCTGAGGCTGGGCGATGAGGCTGGAAAGGGGCTAAATTTAGCCTGTGCTGTTGCTGTGGGTGGCTGGGTGCTTGCTGGTGGTGCCTTCTGGGCAGCCCAGGAGGTAGGGAGGGCAGTCCTTCCCCCTCATGAGAGCTGGGGCACCCTTCTTCTGAGGTGCTTCTCTCCTGCACACCTCCTGCAGCCCAGTTCATGGTGGTTGGACCAGGCTGGTGCCAGCAGAGAACTGTGCTTGCATGGTGAGCATCACCCGATGCTCTTGCGCAGCATCCAGAGGGAGCTGGGTGGTTCAGTCAGGGGAGCAGCCAGTGGGGGGACAGGGTGTGGCTGTCGGGATACTCTGGGGCATCAACCCCATCTGATGGCCTGTTCCCTCTTGCTCCCTCAGGCCTTGTGCGGCTGCACCGTGAACATTCCCACCATTGATGGGCGGGTGATCCCGCTTCCCTGCAACGACATCATCAAGCCAGGGACAGTGAAGAGACTACGTGGGGAGGGGCTGCCCTTCCCCAAGGCCCCCAGCCAGCGAGGAGACTTGATCGTGGAGTTCAAAATCCGCTTCCCGGACAGAATAGCTCCCCAGACAAGACAGATCCTCAAGCAGCACCTCCCATGCTCCTAGAGCCCGGGGACTCTCCTCCAAAGCAGCAATACTCCAAATGCATGTGCCACAGCACCTGGCCTTCACAGAGCCAAGGTGCCACAGCACTTTTAAATGCAAAAAAAACAAAAAACAACCCACCCCTCACACTACTTCTCCCCCAAAAAACCCATCCGACTCATCCCCATCCAACCTTCTTGGCTGGTTTTTTAGTCCACCAATGGGGAGACTCCTGTCTGCCACAGCTCTCCCAGCTGCCAAAACTTTTCTTTCTCCCCAGAGGTCCATTTTTTTTGCCTCGCAGGAGCGAGAGCCACGGGCCCTTTGCCCAGGGAGGTGCGTCGTGTTGTGGGTTTTTTATGTCACCTGCTTTTCAGGCCACTCTTCCCACAAGAAACTGGACTTGTCGGGGTCCAGCGCTGTGTAAATAGGACTCCACAGGATCTGGCATCCCCGCTGCTGGTTTTTCTCTTCCCCTCTTTGATACTTGCTGCTGTTTGGGGTCCCGGCTGTACCGTGGTGCCGATCACTCCTGCCTGCGGTGGCCTCCCCAGTAGCCAGACAATTTCTCACCTGGGGCCACGGTACCAAGTCCAACCGTGGTCCACTCTCCTGTGCCAAGCCTACACCAAGCCTCGGCTGTGCCAAACAACGGAGCACATGGGGATGGTCCATCCAGCCTCCTGCCCCTGCCCAGGGATGTCCCCAGTGCCCGTGGGCAGCACTTGCCTGCACCTGCTGTGCACACAGGGCCCCAGCCAGCAGGAGGAGGGGGGAAAGCCCAGGGTGGAGCTTTCTTTTTTCAGATGTGTTGAGTTTGCATTGCTGCTTTTATTTTTTAAATACATATATATATAGAGCTCATTAGATAAACTTCGTAAGGGTTTTTCTCTGCCTGTATTGGGGATACTGGCCTGACGCACCCAGGCTTTTTTTGAAAGGGGGATGATTCAGCCACACGAACAGCAAACCCCCAGAGTGGGGTTGTGTGTGCGTGTAGCACTAATCTGGGTGCAAAAGCAGAGCCAAGCGTGAGCAGAGCTGTGGGTTTCACTAGTGTTTCAGGTCAAATTAGGGATTCTAATAAGAAGAGAGAGGCGTGTGTATATATTTTTCTACAGGGACAATTAATTCAGGAGGTGTTTCTGGACATCAGGGCAGAGCTGGGAGGTGCATGAGGCAGTCTGTTTAGTGGCTCTGTTTTCAAATACTGTATTTTTTTAAAATCTTTGGATTTCCATCAGGAGAATTTTTATATTTCTTACCTTTCTCAGCCCACTCTGCCTCATGCCATTTTTTTTCCCAGGAAAGGGCTGTTATGGAGCGGGAGGTGCATTCAACCTGGCTTTGTACAGCTCCTCTTTCACCACAGCACTGCCAAGAAAACCCCTGCCAAAATAGTCTCCCCTGCCCCAGGAATCTTTTTTTTTTTTTTTTAATTCCTTAAAAAAAAAATTTACTGACTTGAAGCAGGGGGTCCCTTGGGGTGGGGGGGCTGTGTGTGGGGTGTCCGTGGGGCTGGGGGCACAGCTGTACAGCGTTACCCTGTGGGGCAAGGAGACCTGTGAGGCGCTGCTGAATCAATCACCTGCTTTGGCCAGCGAGGGGAGGCCACTGTTCCCTCCACTGGTCCCTGTGGAGTTCAGTGTGGAGAAATGTGGTGGACGCCGTGAGCGAGAAGACAGGCCAGCACGCAGATGCAAGCTGATTTGTTTTTCTCGGTTTCAACGAGACCTGAATGTTTTATAGTGGGGTTTTTCTTTATTTTCTTTTTTTTTTTTTTTTTTTTTTTGTAATGTCAGTATTGAGAGAAATAAAGAAGTATTTTGAAAAATACACTTTCTTGGGGTGTTTTGTGATGGGAGGGTCGTTGCCATCACCACCCTGGCTAGGCACCCTTGGGGTTGGCAGGGAGAGGAAGAAGAAATGTATTTCTTCTGGTACTTGGTGCACAGCACCTTTGGGCCTGAGGAAGAGGAAGGGAATGAATAGATGACCTGGTTGGTCACAGAATGACTGCTCCTCTCATGCATGGCCTCAGTTGTACTGACCACATTGCCAAGGACTGGGAGCAGTGCTAATGAGGGGCTCTTGGATATGGCTAACATGGACAGTGGAATGGTCAGTGAAGGGCTGCAGGGGGAGGCTGGGGAGAGCAGTGCCCATCTCTTCTCAGAAGGACCCTGGGGCAGTGTGAGAGTCAGAGGCATTACTGGCACCCATGGGAAGTCCTGCTGATGCCAGGCAACGTTTGCACAGTGCTCCCACCAGGAGCAGTGCATAGGGACAGGAGATGAGAGTGAAACCCATGGGCCTTGTGCCCATCTCTCGAGTCCAGTGTGTGGCTCAAGAGGGTTTGGTTTTGGGTGAGAATAGTCAATAAATTAAACTGGATGATGTTAATTACTACACAGCACTGCACATAGTTTCCATGGCCACTATATCACCATCACTGGGCACCTTGCCTCTCTAAATTTGGGGATCTGAACCCAACTCTCCTTTGATTGCCATATTAATGAAGGATGAGCTTTGGTGAAACCAGCCAAGCCCAGCAGTGGTGGAATCATAACTGGTTTCTACGTGTGACACCACCATGCACCATCTTTCCTGCCCAGAAAGACTCCTAGGACAGATGAAGTCCAAGGTCATGGACTAAACAACCTCAAGGGACTTTTATAGGGGTGGTCCATAGACAGGGGGAATGTCATCACAGAATCAAAGAGTGGTTTGGGTTGGAAGGGATCTTAAAGCTCACCTCATTCCAACCCCCTGCCATGGGCAGGGACACCTTCCACTAGACCAGGTTGCTCAAAGGCCAACAGACCTGGCCTTGAACACTTCCAGTGTTGGGGCATTCACAGATTTTCAGGGCAACCTGTAACCTTCACACCCTGGCAGTAAAGAATTTCTTCCTGATATCCAGTCTAAACCTTGCCTCTTTCACTTTGAAGCCATTTCTCTTTGTCCTGTCACTACATGCTCTTATCAAATACTTCTCCTCATCCTTCTTAAAGGCTCTCTTCAGGTACTGGAAGGGATCAAAAGAATATTAAAAGACAGTGGTGGGGTATTGGGAACAGGGGACCTGGCATGACATAAATAAAAGTATGGAATGAGTGGTGGTTTCAGTTGGTTCAGCATTTTCTCCCTAGCAGCTGTTTCAGTGCTGTTATTTGGATTCAGTATGAGAACAATGTTGGTAACACACTGCTGTTTCAGCTGTTGCTCAGCAGTGCTTACCTCCCCCAAGCACTGCTCTGCCACTGAGCAGGTGCACAAGACACCAGGAGGGAGCATGGCCTGGAGAGCTGACCCAAACTGCCCAAAGGGATATTCCATGACATTGAACACCATGCTCAGTGTATAAAGAGGGAAGAATGAGTGAGTGTCTGCATTTAGTGAAATCTCCACAGTCCTTTCCACTGCCCAACATGGGCCCAGAGGATGGAGTAACAATAGATCTGAGCAGAGCCTGTTAGACCAGGTTTGTTATAAGCAGTTGCTGTATTAGTGTAATAGTTTCTGGTCACAAAGCTGTTTTGTTTGCACTCAAAATTCCCGTGCATGTGCTTGCAGGAGCACCTTGCTTGGTGTGTGTCCCCTGTGGTGACGTTGATCCTCCATGGGGCCTGGGTGAGTTGTTCTTTGTAGTAGTAGCTTAAAGGTGTGTCTGCCACATCTACACCATTCCTCAAAGTTTCCAAGATGCTTAGGAACATGGAGAAACATGATTTAGTGGTGGACTTGGCAGTGCTGGGTGAATTGTTTGGCTTGATGACCTTAGAGGTCTTTTCCAACCTAAACATTCTGTGATTCGATTATACACATCTTTTAAATACCCACAGGGATGCACCATGGCCATGGCAGCCTTCTTCAATGCTTGACAACACCTTCCATGATGAAATTTATTCTAATAACCAACTTAAACCTCCACTGGCAAAACTTGAGGCTATTTCCTCATATCCTGTTGCTTGCTATTTGGGAGAAGAGGCTGTCTACATCCTCCTTTCAGGTCACTGTAGAGAGTAATCAGGTCCTCCCTGAGTCTGTTTTTCTCCAGGATAAACACCCCCAGCTCCCTCAGTGGTACCACACAGGACTTGTGCTCCAGACTGTTCCTCAGATTTTTGTGAGGAGCCCAGCACTTGGAGTGTGGCCTCATCAGTGCCCAGCACAAGGGGATGGTCACTGCCCTGGTCCTGCTGGCCCCATCATTGCTGATACATTCAGGATGTCCTTGGCCTTCTTGGCCACCTGGGCACACACTGGCTCATGCTCAGCCACTGTTGACCAGCACCCCCAGGGCCTTTCCCACTGGGCAGCTTTCCAGCCACTCTGTCCCAGCCTGGAGCTGCAGGGAGCTCTTGTGACCCAAGGGCAGGACCCAGCACTTGGCCTGCTTGAGCCTCACACAACTGGCCTCAGCCCATGGATCCATTAGTACAACAGAATCTCCATTTGTGAGACAAATCTGATACAAGCACTCAGTACTGGCATTCCCTCTGTATTTCGGGAGCCATCTGTTGGGAACTGTTCATAATTGCACCTTTGGCCTTTTTCCTTGGAGAGACCAACTATGGCAGAAACATTTTCTTACATCTCCCTTCTTTCACAGAAAGGTTTAGGTTGGAAGGGATCTTAAAGCTCATCTCATTCCAAGCTCCCTGCCATGAACTGGGACACCTTCCACTAGACCAGGCTGCTCAAAGCCCCATTCAGCCTGGCCTTGAACATGGCTAAGGGTGATGCATCCATGTCTGTAATTCCTTCCTGCCTTCCTTCTTTGGAAAGGATTCCAAAGAATTCCTCCATTCCCCCAGGCTAGTAACAGCAGACATCCTTTTAGGGAAGAGGAAGGAGATAGGAGTACCTGGTGGTTTCACCTGTGAGAATATGGAGAGGACACAAGAATGTGGGAAGGAAAACCTACTTGACCATAGAGACACAGATATGGGAATTGCAAAGGGAAACAATCACAAATGAGAGTTCTTTCAGAGCATTTGTTGCCCAGTCTCCAGTGGGTAGTTTCCCAGGCAGGGTCAAAGGGTATAGTATTCTTGATCCTATGGCAAGCATGAAGCTGTGTCAGGGGAGATTTAGGTTGAAAAGGTTTTTTACCAAGAAGGGTTGATGGGCACTGGAACAGCTCCCCAGGGAAGTGATCACAGCACCAAGCCTGGCAGAGTACAAGAAGTGTTTGGACAATGCTCCCAGGAGTTTGACTCAATGGTCACAATGGGTCCATTCCAACTCAGAGTGTTCTGTGATTCCATTTCTACAAGAAGTGAGTGGCAAATCCAATGACCAGGACCAGAAGGACCCTGCCTCTATCCTCTATCCCTCACAGTGCACCCTAAAGTCATGGAGCTACATGGCAGAACCCATCCATATTTCTGGAGGGACAAAGGAACTTTTCCATGTCCTGTGCTCTGCCACTGAGCAGGTGCACAAGAAGCCAGGAGGGAGCATGGCCAGGAGAGCTGACCCAAACTGCCCAAAGGAATATTCCATGCCATTGAATACTATGCCCAGGGTATCAGCCAGGGGGCTGTGGCACGTGGGGTGTGAATGAGCAGAGTGGTACTGATTCACCAGCTGGGTTTAAACTTCCACAGGAAGGGAAGCCCTCGGAGAAGGAACATCCATAGGGAAGCGATACACATGGGGTAGGAAATGTCAGTGGGCAGGACACATCCACAGTGCAGGGGACACCAATGGAAGAGGGATGTCCTTGGGACAAGGATAGCCATGGGGAGAGGAAGCACATGGCCTGCGAGGCTCAAGTGGAAGGGATGTCCTGGGGGCCAGTGATGCCAATGGAGCAGAGATGCCCACATCCATGCCTGCCTGGAGCTGGATGGGTACCTACTGAAGAGCAGTCACTTGTGGCCTCCTGCTGATCAGAGCACCTGCTGGGCTGAGGGTTTTGGGATGTTGCAGGAGGGTCCCACTCCCTTGGATCAGGGACCAGTCTCTAACCCCACCACCATGGCCTGAGAGAGGACTCCCATCCTGCATCAAGCGTGGCTGGACTGTGACTGCCATTAAGCCAATGGTCCCCATGGGGCCTGGTTGGGGTGAAGGGGCTCTGGGGCCATGAGTGGAGCCCAAGGGGGCACAGGGAGGTGCTGATCCTGTCAAAAAAGGAAGGAGATGCCCTCAGCTTACCCCTCATTAATGCTACACCCTCCAGGGCACACCTGAGCCAACAGCATCTTCCTCCCTCCAGCACTTGAGGGAGCTGCCCAGGCCCCCCAGCAGGGATCTCGGCAAGGGAGGAGGGTGCTGAAGAAAGGCTCTTGCTCTGGCAGTGACCGACTGGGGGCTCTGCTGGAAGGGGCAGGGCTGGGGCCAAGCCCAGTCCTTGATACCAACTGCTCACCTGGGGCTGCTGAGGTTCACTGGGCTGTGGGTGCTGATCTGGAGGACACGCTCAGCCCTCCCACCAGGTTCACACAGAACCTCAGAACAGGGATAGATGCTCTTGGAAATCCTGTTGGTGCTGTCCCCTCATCGGGAGCCATGTTCCACAGATGGCAAGGAAGAAAGGAGGTTTTCCAGCCCCTCTGCTGGATTCAATTAGCATTTGCAACTAGCAGAGGCAGTGGGGAAGATCTGGGCTGCCAGGAGCACACACCCCACCATCCCATGGCTTCCTTGGCCCAGCCTCCACAGCAGACAACGATGCCAGGATGGATCTGTCCCTTGACTTGCAGGGTGGTGATGTTCCCACACTGGCAGGGAGGAAGAACCCACTGTCCAAGCTGTGGAAGACTTTGGGGAGTC